ATCCGCAGTCTAGTAATCATAAAGAAGGTGATATTTTACCTTTTTGTTTCAGATGATCAAGTACGATCAAATCCTGTTCGCTGAATGACTCTTCTACTTTTAAGTGGTCGCGTTAAAGCGTCGTCTAGGAATATCCACATACCGAAACATTGTGATAAAATCAAAAATTAATGCTAAAACGTCGATCTACCAAATAAAAAAAAAAATTATCATAATTGCACTAGTACTTTTTCTAAAAAAAATTCTTGAAAATTGCCTTGAAAATTAAACGTTTCACAGACGGACCCCCTTAAATAAACGAAATTGTTCTTTTTCTTTTTTTTAACAAAGGCATTCGTTTATTTGGCGCTATAGCTCGCTAACTCCTAATAATACTCCGTAATTTTCAAAAGGTTGAGAAGCACTGCTTTTAAAAGACTCATCGGTTTCCCGTGGCCTCCTAACAGCCATCGCCATCTTATAAAATCGATCCCGGAAAAAAAGAAACTGAAACGTACATACTTCGAGCAATAAAAGCGCATGCAACGAAGAATTCGCCAGGAACACCTGAACCTTGGACCTTCTCGCCTTACCCAAAATCGCTCCACCCCTTGAAATCGTCGATACTCCTACGATCCACCTGTTCTCCCCCTCTGGCATCGCATGATAGAGTATAAGCGGCCTCTTCAAAGCGGAACAGCCAGGCAAAAGGAGCCGGGACGTGGCTCTCGAAGATTAAAGCGCACTGACACCTTAAAGACGAGCCCATAATAGGCTGATGCCTTGGTGGGAGGGAGAAGTCAGAGGGCGGACAGCCTTTTGGGGATGAATGGAAGGGTTGAATGTATCCTTCGGTTTCTCCATTGTCGAAGTTGTTCGGAAACGCGGATTTCGGGATAACGTTGAAGAACTTTCGACGAGACCACTATTTTAAAGACTTTTTCGTTAATTGGAGCGCTACAGTATGTATAATAAATAGAGAGCCTTCTTTTAGATCTTTGCGAGATTACGGTCTTTCACTAGGTGGTTAATTTCGTGCAGAAAGAAGCATTGTGTTTCTAAGTTTTTATACTTCTGGAGTAACGTAATTCGATACATTTACGAAGTATAGAAATATTATGACTAGACTGCGGATTTTATGTATTTATGGCGGACAGTAATTAAAAAACGAGACAAAAAATATACATTGTATATGTTTAACATATTCTACATATTCATAAGAACGCGTACTTTTTTTACTATGTTTAGCACGTATTTATTATATTAGCTTTTATCATAAATGCGTAACAGTCGCAGTCTAATTGGGACGATCACGATGTGTTCCTTTTTTTACTAGATTTAACATAGAGAGCGTAGATTTTAACACCTTTTGCTTATCAATTTTTAAAGAACGGTCGAATTTATCGAATTTTAACTTTGCGTACGTGCCTGTGCATAGTTCGAATGCTAGCTTGTATAAGACAGTACATAATTATACATAATAGTAATAGTTCGGTGCATGAAAACAATGATTAACGGAATTATTAACGGAACCAACGAAAAACAAACGATTTCTTGTTTCAAATGATTCTAGCTATCGTGAGAAGTAGGATTTTAAAAAATAAACTAAATTTTAGAATTGTCTCTTTAACAAATGAAAGGATTTTATTATGTTTTTTACACGTATAGATAATACAAGTTCACGCGTTACAAGGGCTTATACGGATTTTATACTTTTATACGAATAAAATTTTTAATTATTCGGTTTAGCCGTTTTTGAGAAATCAGTGTTATCATTTCCAAAGTTTGAGAGCCTACAGTTAGTTTTAAAGTTAATTTTTTGAGGTTGGGAAAACGTGTTTGAATCTTGAATCAATAAATTATCATTCTACGGACACTTCTTATTAAATTATATATATTAATTAAAAAGAAATGATATTACAATGTCTATAAAAAACAAAAAATATATATATAACTATGGATGAATATATGAAAATAAGTTTGATATATATTGCACGTGGCAAACACAAGAAAAACGAAACAGAAACAGAAAGTATTACATATTTGTTCAGTACGTGGCAGCCTACCATGCCACTATGTAATCTGTAATATAATAATGCGCGTAATTCAATAGTTAACACTGAAACTGACGCAACACTTGAGGCTTTTATACGAGCAATGGCGAGACTTGTATCTCATTATTGTATCGAGACATTCTTATTCTTTTGTGTTGGAATATCAAAGTTCATTACCTTAGAATTCGGAATGCCGTGCTACGTGATAGGAGTCGATAATTGGTTAACTTGAGAATATAATATAACAAAACGTAAGAAATCCTCTTTTTTTCAAAGTTTCGATTAGATGTAACAGAACAAATGCTACAAACTATTTGTATCGCTGACTATGAAACGCGCGAAAGAATGTCTACTGATATGGTACTTTGTCTACCAGCAAAGCAATTGGCACATCCTTCAAGGAGTGTTCCATCTGCAAAAATTAAAAACAAAAATCTTTATAAAAGATGTAAAGTATGTGCTAAAGACAAGAAAAAATGTGAAATTAGGCATTTCAGATTGTTCTGAGGTTTATCATTCTGCAAAAATGATTATAAAGCAGAATTATTACTATTATATATATGTTTGTATAACATCCGCCTATAAATAGAAATATTATGTCCTTAAAACGCCTAAAGAATGAATTCTGTATTTATTTATACAGAGAAACTACCTGGGAGAGTAAACAATATCTTCCATCACGCATTCCACATCATCTAAAAGTATATCATTCTATAAAAATGGATATCAAGCAGAATTGTTATTTAAATATTTCTACAACATCTATCTATAAATAGAATTATCGTGTCTCTAAAATGCGTGCAAAACGAATTCCTGGTGTCTCGTGGCTCGCGTCGAATTATCCCGCATGGTTTTGTCTCGCGTACCCGCGAAACAGTTTCCAGCGCGAGAGCTTAAACCCCTAACCTTTCGGAGCATGTAGAAAAAAGTAATATCGATTTACGCTTCGAAGGAACTCCTACTCGATATTTTAATTTTAAAAGCGGTTCACAGATCGTCAAGTTTCCAAGGCTGGGAATCTCGGTCGTAAAAGATAGCGGAGCAATATCGAGAAACGTTAGCGTGGCATCGATACCTTGGCCCGCACTCGATAACGTAGAGCAAAATCGGATCGCGAAAAGTCTGACGCCGGTGCCTGGACCGGCGTACTCGCAGCATTTCCCCGACGCTGCTATAAAAACCGCGTCAGCGCGACGAGAATACAATCGGCTAACGCGGCCGCGCGGCACGCACGGTGGGGAAGCCGTAGAATATTCACGCAGCATACAAAATCATAAAGACGCGAGTGGCTGGCTATAATAATGCATAAGAGGGCGGAGCTGCGCTGTTGCAGTCCACGCCCCGCGCAGCCGTCCTTCTGGAGGGGGAAGCCGCGCCGGAAGGGGAACGAGTTGAGACAAAGCTCGAGTAGGGAGTTACAGAAACACAACTGAAGCTGCTGCAGAAAATCATCGGAGCCCGTCAGACGGTAATTCTTCCTTTTCCTTCGAGCTAGGGGCGTGTTTAGCGAAAAGTGCCGATAACTAATGCATCTATCAACGGTGTCGCTAAATAACGATACGAGTAACAACATCGGTTATATTTCTCCTGTAACTTACTTATTCGTAAACGTTACGGAGTTAACAGCCGTACATTTAGCTCGCAAACGTTCGCGGAAGGACGGTCTTATGGAGCGAAAATGAATTCTGCAGGAATTCCTACAAATTTATGGCATCTACGAGTTCATTAGTCCTCGGTAGCGATTGATATCGTTGGAAGATAGGCCTCTGTTGTTAACCATACATTTACAGAGTTTACATGCCCGAAATGCCGTGCCTCTGAAAAGCAAAAGTTGCTCTGCAAAATATTTGTAACGAATACTTCACTTTCGAACATGTTACTCGATTCTTCGATTTATACGCGTACGGGTTCATTGAAATTCTTCAAGTGATAATATTTGCTCCACTCGATACTTTCGATAATTATGTAAATGCAGGAATACTTTTACTTTTTGTACATTGCGTGTTCTATTTGCGACTCTCTAGAAACTTTGAAGCGATCAATGTTTTCTAATAAGCGCAAACATGTCGCTGACCTAGGAATAAGTCGCGCGTGTTACGATACACGCTAGTCCACCTTGTTTTTAATCGAACGTTACGTCTCGCGCGAATAATGAGAAAATCGTCTCGATTTTTTTATTTTAATTTAGGTTAGGAACTAAACAGTTGTTGCGTGTTTTATTTTGAATGTTCTTACACCGGTTTGTACCGAAATTGATCAAAGTTTAAATGTACAATCCGTTTATCTCATTATTAACATCCCGATTTAGGGATAGGGACTCTTTGGCATTGGTTTCTAAAATTTTCTTCCGAAGCGGACCAAAACGTAGCGTCCGAAACGTTAAGGAAATCGCTACGATGAACGTTTTCGTAATCAGTTTCTCTACCGTTCAACGACTCGGGAAAAGTAGTATCCGTTGCCAAGTCCGACATTTGTTTAGGATTGATCGCAAGAAGCTTTTATTTATTTGAAATAGTAGAAATTTGGTCGATACGTTTACCTTGTGGAATTGAATCAGCCGAAAAAGGTGTACTTGGCCTGTAACGTCCAAGTTTCCTCGTGCCTGGGAGGAGTTCTCGAATCATTAAGGGTTAAAGGCTGCAACGATTTTTCAGATTTCGAACCGATTAATTTCTCAATCGCGCGCGTAAGCCGAATAGCGACGGAAGTGGAACGTTTCACGGTGTACGAATACTTTTTTTCGACCACTGTACTTATCGAATTGATTCAGATTCATGAGTACACATTGAACTTGATCCCACCCCTGGCAAGCAGGCAGTCGCGTTGGAGAGGGTGTCGCATTGGTGGGGCGTCCGCGAAACACCGTCAGGGGCGTGGGGAGGGAGAGAGGAAAGCGCGCGCAGGCCTATCCCCTCCGTCAGCATCAGGGCGCGACGGTCAGCGCAGGAGAGGGGCGTCGCGATGTCAGACCCAGAGCTGGTCCGTCCGTCGTCCGGCCGACTCGAGGCACCAGAGCCGTGGATTTCGCGCGAGATATAGACCATAAACACACACATACACACACACGCGCGCGCGCGCACGTACACGCTTGCACACGTACGCAACGCACGCACTCACGCGGTGTACCGCGTGGAGAGACGAACGAACTCGCCTGGTGCCACACGTGCGCACACACCGGTGTGTCTCGGGGTCCACGTTACAAAGTTCAGTGTGTGTCACAAAATACAGTGGAACAGAGGGAGCGAGAGAGCAAACGTGAGGGAGCGAAAGAGTGTGTGCGAGAAAGAGAGAGAGAGAGAGAGAGAGAGAGAGAGAGAGAGCGAGCGATCCGCGCCACGTGCCGTTGGAGAAACTCGAGAGTGCGCGGGTTTCAAGATGGGTCGAGTGTGTTACTGGCCGAGTTGAAACGCGTTCTTTCCGCATGGGATCGTTCAGGAAGTGGATTAGCGCGCGCAGGGAGGTGCGGCTCCCTGACAGTGTCGATGGTGAAGTACAGCAGTGAATCGGTTGCTCTACGAGCGAAATTGCCGAGTGCGGAACCGAGCCGGTCCTCGCTACGGCGTGGACCGATGACGCGTCGGTCCGTCTAAGCAACATTTTCCCCGATTCAGCCGGGAACTCCGATCAGGAATCGCCGCTACCAGAAATCAACAGGCAAGAAGGGATGTCACGGAGAAAGCAGGCCCGACCGAGCCGTGCCCACCTCGAAGAGGATCTTGTCCAGGGGCCTCTGCTGATCAACGCCGTAGGAAATGCAAACGAGACCCGTAAGTGAACACCATCGGTGCATATGTAACGTGATAGGAACTCGCGCGCGCTCAGTGCTCTTGTGGATAGATTAGGCAGTACGGGAACCTGGAGCGTTTCTATTTCGAATACACTGTCTCGAACCGCTTCGTAAATCGTTAACAATGTTGTCATTTGCTTCTCCGAAATCGAGCGGATCGGAACAGAACAGAGATGCGTTTGATTCGACTCGACCGAGCGTGGGAGGTATTTCGACTAAGAAGCGGTGTACCTCGTGAAACAAGGAAAACGATAACGAGCAGCTTCGGATTCGGATCGTTCTTGCGATAGGAAGTGAACGAATCGTGATAATCGATTTCTACCGAGAAAATGGACACGACAATCTCGAGAAAGATACGACATGGGTTCGAATAGTGTTTGAAAAGTTGAAGGTGTCGATGATGTTCAGTGCTGTCGCTTAGGATCCATTGCGATCGATTCACGTTCATACCCTTCCAAGTGTTAATATACGCAACCGATACGAATCTCGAACAAGTGGTACGCGTCGATACGCTGTACGGTCTCAATCGTCTCACGAGTCAGGGAATAGAGTACAAATGGGTTTTCTTCGTATTTTCCCACACTTGTAGATAGATCGAGAAAAAGTGCTTCCAAGCTTCGTTTCTTCGAACGGTGATTCTTACAAAAGCGCCCGAAGTGGCCAAAGTGAATGAATCCTGCACGAAAAGTATGCACGAAGCGTTTCAAATTTTACCTGACGCTTGACGAGATTCCTTGAAGACGTTCCAGTGATGACGCTCACGTTTGATAATTTCAATTTTCCTGGAAACTTTCTAAAAGAGTGTACGCGAAGTAGTTAAATCATTAGATGATTTGTGCCGAATTTTACGAAGCTTAGGCTTTCGACGAAACGGGGAGTTTCCTTTTACGACAGAATGGACTTATTCGTAATCTTTGGTCGCGTACGGGTGATAACGGTCTCGCGATCGGTTCGAGAATTTTCGAGTTGGCGCGATACGAGCCGTCGGCGGCGCGAGATCAGTTACTGGTGCAATTGAAACTCCATTCGCTCTCCGTCGGACTTCTCGCGTCGCGACGCGTCAACGAGCTGTTACGGACCTTCCCCGAAAGCTCCCCTCGCGCGGTGTATTTTTTGTTCGATAGCGCCTCCACGTTTTCCGAGGAAATTTTCATTTTCCTTGAATGCTCGATGGATTGCTCGTCTACCGGTTTCGAATAACAGTAAAAATTCATCATTACGTAGCGCCAAGTTTGCATTTTCCACGGAATGTGAGCGCTTCGTTTGAATTCGCTTCGATTCCGATACTCGGACAGGGAAAATGCGAGCCAAAGACAGGTTTCTCAATTGGGGCGCGATGACCTGTTCGCGAACACAACCAACGCGATGCCACTTGTCGCTTACCCTGCATGCTCCAAACATTATCGCTCGGTTGGTTTTTCAAACGGGACGAACAATGGCGTTCGAACGCGAGAGAAAACCACTTGTCGTTTAGAAAAATGAAGTTTCCAAGCCTACACGCGATCGAAGCTAAATTCTACGCGAATTTTAAAGATTTTAAACAGCCGACGCTATTCGTACACCATCTTTCTGTCAATCATTGGCTTTGCAGTTAAGGTACTGCGAACTGCAATATTTCTAAATCGACACTTGACAAGCAACGCTGGAAAGCGTATTATTTAAACTGATAAGGAAACGTGACGGGCCTGATAACCAAGTTTTGAGAGAACAGGATAATCGGTGTTCTGAATTTGACTTTGTATAGATTCTAAGAAATTGTCAACCGATATTGAACGCCTTGAATGGTTCACTTAGCAAGTTTCTCATTCTTACCAGTATTTTGGTTATCTTGCATTCTATTTAGGCGGTAGTCGTCGGAGAGACCATTATTCGCATGGGTACAACTAAGCATTCGTAATGAAACGTTTTTCTTTTGCTAGGACGGGAAATTAATTTTCAAAACTTAAAGCTTTCGAATGACAGAATCCTTCGATTCTAAAATATTCGATTGATATTAATGTTCTTCTTTTGCGTTCAACGAGATTTCTAATTCGCTCGAATAGTCCAGGATTAACTACAGTTTTTCCAACTCTAAACTGGGTATACATTTTAATTATGTGAGACTGTTTCGCATTTTCCTAGACTTTAACAGCTTCGAATACCAAGGAATTACTTTTTCAGTCGCTTCGTTGAAGAAAAAATTGAGAAATAGTTCGAGAAAATTAACGATGAAGTGTAAATTTATGCGGTGACGAATTCCGATGATGCTTTTAATCGTTCGTACCATTCGCTACTAGCAAATATTTCAACAAAAACAAAATAACTATCAACGACCAACACACACCTATAATACATATTACAATATCTATGAAATTATAGCAAAGCAAGTCGTATCAATTTATCGATACAATTACTCGTATATTTCAATATGTCGGCAAAAATTATGACCAAAGCGTTGCGTGTACTTGAATAATTCTTAAAAGAAATTTGAAACACGTGAATCAAATAGTTTCACTCGATAGTTTTGGTGTTAATCGTAAATAAAAATTTGGAAATGTCATTGATATTGATGGTTTGACAAAGTTATTCAGTATTTCATTATTATTAAATCAACGTATCTATTGATATTTCTGTAGCAACATTCATCCATTCGATGCAAGTATTGACCTCACCCTTATGCACAAAAATTAAATCCTTGTCAAATCGAACCAATTTATTTCTACCTGTTTTTTCTTGCAATCAATTCGCTTCACGAGCACCGTTGGCGAATAATGTTAAACAACACGTGTACGCAAGTTCATTGAAATTATTCTGGTATGCACAGTGTGTTTTACAAAGTATCTCAAATTTGATTACAATTGCAAGAATAATTTCAAAAAGTTTTTATCCGTATTTTATTCGAAGTAAATTTTTCGCGTGTTATATTCGGGTAGCATTCCTGGTCACATGTTGCATTTGTTTGTAAATATCTCACGGTAACAAGAGCTTTTCCAATGATATCGCGTAATTACGGTTGTTTTTTTATGGTCCTTTATTTCTACTCGACGCTCGTCGCACTACGATAAATACCGATGCAATGGCGATAATTTCAAGCACGAGTGACTACTAATAATAGCGAAAGTTTAGATTGGGAATCTCAACAGAGATTCCAGACGAATAGGCTGAAAATATCAAAGTGTATCTATGTTCAGTGTCGTGCAAACAGTTTTCTCGAGTCATCGCTGATAGACGTTTACGCTTAATGAGTTTTTCCACAAATAACTCTGTATTTTCTAGGCAAAGTTTTAATAACGAATTTAAATTTAATAAAGTTGTGTATATTCTAGTCAAGAGTATATTTCCCTAAATGTCTTACAACGTGCTTCCATGCCTCTTTAGTAAATAAAAAATATCATTTTTACAAAATTGTTTCGGTTTTAAATTCAAAAATCTAATGATCTTAGTTTTCACGTTTTCTATGTTTGATATGTTTTTCCCGTCAAATCACTTTATACATTTCCGAAGGGGTAGCAATCAAATCTGAAGAATACAGTGTATAAGTAATTATTTTCTGCAATATTTCCCTTGCCACGTGTGATCGTTCATTATTGTGGCGGAAGATGACCTTTCTCCTGTTACTCAATCGAGAGTGTTTATGCTACATACTATATAATCACTCCAGTTGTTGATAATAAATTTCTTTATTAATTATTTGATTGGGTTTTAGAAGTACAAAATGAATTACTCTGTGCATACTCCTTGAAACGCGCAGCAAGATTTTTTTAGAATGGAGTCCTTGTTTCGTCTTGTATATTGGATCCTGTTTAAAAATTGTTCATTCTTAAATTGGAAAGGAAGAGCTGAGCGTATGCATACTCGCTTTCTATTGTAAATGGATTTCTAATTGTTCGTGAGGCATCTATTTTCCTATTTCGGAAACTTTTTCAATATTTCTCAGGTGATGATGAATAGTAGTATTGGTTGATTGAAGTTTTATCGCAAGGCCTTTGATAGTTCCAATGAGATTTTGTTCAATGATAACTCGTAATTGGTCTTCGTCGAACTCTATTAATCTTCCGGCGCGAAATTCTTGAACGCTGGAGTTCTCATTGTCAGATTGACATTTTTCAAACCATCGTTAACACTACCTAACACTAATTGTTTTGTTCTCGTATAATTTATAATTTTTTTGTAGTTGTTACTGTTGTATTTCTTTCTTCGTTAAACTGATGCAATACAATACGACAAATATGCTCTATTGTCACTTCCATTTTAAACCACCGTAAAAGTAAATAATCTGCGTTAATGATTCAAAATAATCTTATATTTTCCTCTAAAGTATCCACCTGAATTATATGTATATGGTAAAAACCGTATTATATACGAAAAACCTCAATATATTCGACCACCGATATGACATGCAAAGAAATCAATGCGGAATCGAAATGCTTTTGCATGATTTAATATATTTCGACAGGATTCATAAGTGCTTCGCAGTAAATACGAATATTAGCAAGAAAGTTATTCGAATGTATCGGAGAACGTTCCATACAATTGATTGCCGCTCGACTCGCCTCTGTATATTTCAAGAGATTCCGAGACTTATAAGGGACTTTATTACGTTTGCTCCAGTCGCGTTATCTTTTATGTGTATCTTTTACAAATGCTCGAAAAACAAAATAATTTCCACCCGTGGATACGTTAAAGTGTTGTGTACGAAACAAGCATTTACCTTGTCTGTAATTTGAATAGTGCCCAGTGGACATGTTTAGAGCACATTTCAGACAATGGCTATGCATTTGAATGTTCGTTGCGCGAGTGGTGCCAATTGTCAAATCGCGTTACGGTGAATTTCTTTTGCTAATCGAATACATAGTCCGTTTGTGTTTGAAATTAAAATAGTGCACACCTAACTACGACCTAACTACCTTTAATGCTGTAATTTATTTGTATTTTAACAATCCTGACAATTGTTCTTCGAACATGTATATTTATTAACAGTTGCGACCGATTTGAAACGTA